TCTGACAACCTCTATTTTTTTTAGATCAGGCAATTTAAACCCACTTTTACAGCTAATGCCCTGAAATGCCTTGACAGAGCTGAGGCACTCAGTGCCTTGGTCACACATCTTGGTTTGGCCATTGCCAAGGGATGAGATACCTGCCCAGGTTCATGTTTTCTATTTCCGGGGATCCTCAGAATATGTCTCTGCACAAAATGCAGTGACAGCCACAACTTTCTTTCTTTCCACTTCCTATGGAAGTGTTTTAACTGCCAGGCTGTAAGCAAGTTTTGGCAATTTGTCCACTGTCATTATGAAATAATATAGAAGAGGATGCAAGATTCATACGACCAGAGAAAGTAAATGCTTCAGCAGCCTCCCAGGGCATCTGTCCAAAACAGGGACTTCTGGATTCCAGTCCCTGCTCCTCGTACTGGGTTTTGTCATGCAGTTTCCAAGTGCAATGGCGTATTATTCTCCTTACAAGCTACGTCATCTCTGGCAAGAAGCAAAATTTGATAGCAACTACCAGCAGCAGCTCAAGTCTCTCGGAATCCAGACGGCCATTATCCTGCTCTTCATCTCTGCTTCAGGCAATGTTATTTCCACTCCCTCTCATATGCTGTCCCCAGCACGTTTGTAACTGGGAGCTGTTTCAGTTGAATCACATATATACCTGCTTGTGTGGGTTTTGGGTTTTTTCCCGAGTTAATTGCTAACTGAGCCATCTCACTACCCTGTCACACATGTGCTACTGGCCATGAAAGAATGCGCATGAGAATGCACAGCTCCCAGGAGCAACATCTGGCGATGGTCCCTATACTCAGTACTGCCTGGTTAACTAGTTTAGTTAGTTTGCCGACTTAAAACAGATCCCATGCAATTCTCTGCACGGATCCGTTACGGGAGCCTAGGTGACTAACTTCAGCATTTTACTGCAGAGATTTGAATACTTGAAAGTTCATTTTTACAGCACTACACTCTTTTGAATCTAGGTTGTAGCTTCTGAAGCGGGGTTAGAGTCAGACAGAGGTCATTGTTTCAAAACACAACTTACAACCTCAGGCAAATCACCTACAACCACTTAACAGTAGAAACAGTTACTAAAAAATCATGACTTATGTGTATGGCTGCTTAAAAAGGAGAAAGATTATAAATTTATTGTCAGGAGAAAACTGTAAATGAAAAGTTACTTGCAATGGAAAGCTATGAAACCGGAACTGGAAAAGCACCTGTGCAATGATATTAACTTAATCCATTTTTAAAATAAGGTGGACATATAGATAGGTAACTCAGCTTTGTGTACTTTTAAAAAAAAATCATGAGTAATAATTTATTTGCTTACACTGGATAAACAGAAACATATTACTAAAATTTAAATACATGTTGCTGTTTCTATGAATGTTTATATATATGTAAAATCAGGTCTTTTATATTAAAATTTTCATGTGGGTACTAATATTTTTATGGAATGCTCTTTAATAATAATGTTCCTCTGTGGGAGGAATTTTTAAGTCAAACTAGTGGTAAAAATTAACATTACCCATTCAAGATTAAAGCACACCCCCACGTATTTAATAGTGTGTGTAAGAAAAAGAACATAATATATCCAAGTGCACCATCTGCTGACAGGTTCAGGATGCCAAATGCTTTCATGGATTTTCAGATACAGGGAAAAATACTGTACATTCAGACCTCACACACATTAGAAAATACTTATATTAGTTTGGGCTTGATTTTAAGGCGAGTTCAGAATTGGTATTGCTACAGATTAGTTTTGTTTCAGATTAATTTTCGAATAGTGAACTTCTGGTCCAATTCTTTTCCGTCTTTTGGAAAAGAACTTTTTTGTTCTTTTGGAACGTCTTTTTACGTCTTTTGGAACGTTTTGGAGTTCTTTTCCTAGAAACTGTCTCAAAAGTGTCCTCAGTGGGACAAGAGAGCAAGACACATCATTATGTAAAGAATATTATGCAATATTGAATCAAAGTGAAAAATTCCTCTATCATATTTTTCCCCATTTTCAATGCATCCTTATCCTCATATTTAGATGGAAGAGATCAAATAACTATAGAAACCAGGCAGTATGACCAACAATATGCTGCAAGTCACCTTAAGTAGTGTCTCTTTTTCTTCAGGCTGATAACTTTATATGTCATACAACACAAGAATGTGCAGTGGAAATAATTTATATCGACTTACTGCCAAAATGTGCAAGGAAGGAAACTGCCTGTGTGATCTTAAATGTCAGAAGAAGATTAGCAGGGAGCAGCTTGCAGTACAGGATATTCTGCTGGGAACTAGGAATTCCTCAGCACTCAGACAAAAGGTAGGTAGTATCACAAAGCTACCCAAAGCTGTAGGTTTAACAGTTACCATTTAATCACAATTTACAGCTGGTCTGGGCATAGGTGGGCAGTTCCTAAGCATCCACTGACTATTTTCTTACATTATTACAGGTTTTTTAACTTACAGAAAAGAACAAGAGTTGTTTTTACAAAAAAGCCTTAATTTACACAAATTTTCACATAATTCAGTTGCAACACACAGATTTCCTCTGCTCCCAGGAACTTGGCAGATTTTGCATTAAGGTTTTATTGAGCACAGTGACTGCTGCCTATCCGAGGGGTGCCTCTATAGCAGATGGCATGTCCCATTACCTTGCTTTGTTTTCACCTGTCTGTCCTTGCACTTCCAGCTCTTTTATATGGAATTCTGTGGCAGAAAAGCAAAGCTCTCTGAAGAAATGGCCAAAAGAAGCAAAAATGTCTATTTTTTTGTGATGGTGAGATGCTCTAATTCAAAGCACTCGTACATTCATGTTATGCAAAAAAAAAAGATTTTTTTATGACAAAAGAATTTGAATGATATACACTGCAAAGAAAATTAGTTTCAAGTGCATTTATTTTGAAATAAACAAGACTATTATATGCATATATTCATATTTATATTAAATAACTTATTATTAAACATGACAAAAAATACTCTTAAAAACTAATCCGACAGTTTCACATTCTATTTTATATTAAGTGACTATAGTTAGGAAATACATAGAAAAATGATAAAATTGTCTCAAGCCAGCCATAAAAGCAAAGTGCACTATTGCCTAGGGCACTGGAGGAACAAAATGCTGATGGTGCTGCTGCTTCCTCCAAGGAGAGGATCACTGTGAGTGGGCAGTAGTGAATGAAGGGGAAGGAGGGGAACCCCTTCAGTAATTCCCTATCCTTTCTTCCCTTTTTTTGTCCTTCATCACTGAAGCAGCAAACTGGGTTTTGCATATGCTGACAAGAAGCAGTGAGACAGTTCTGCGTACCAAGACGATACATTGAATACAATGAATTCCCTAAATGATCACACAGGTATTGCAGTTTATCCGTGTTCTGTTGTGTCTTTATCCCAATTAATTTGATTTTTCTTGTTGTTGGTAGTTTAAGGATGCCAAGGTAGAAATTTGTTAAGTATTAATCATGAAGTATTAACTAAAGAATCGTCCTTCAAAAGCTTTCTGAACTGGCTTTTTCTCAGATAAAAGCCACACCTAGCACATTTTTTTTTCTAAGATATCTGGAGTGGAATTTCTTAGAAAACATCTTCCTTTTGTTTTGTGTTTTTTTTTTTTTTAAGCAGAGATAAATCTTATTATAAATTAATCATTTCTAAACTTAGGTGTACTTAGATGCTATTCACATGTGATGCAGGATGCTATTTGAGCAACGTGTACTAAATACAATTTTGAAGTTTGCTTACAAGTATTTGGAGTAATAAAGATTTAAAACTAGACTCCACCAAATATTTGACTTTCTGATAACAATTTATTGACATTAGTTTTAGTGTGTGTGTATTCAGCTAGAAATATTTCAAGGCACATATTGTTCCTAAATAGATACAGACTTATTTAACGTCCAGTGAACCTTTTGAAGAAGGATATAAGAAACGTGTTTGTGTGTGTTTGGGTTTAGTTCATATCATCTTGAAAGGGAGTAAGGAAAAATGCTGCTGCTGAATAGCAAAGAAAAAACTTTGAGAAAATGAAAACCAAATGTAACAGTGTCCTTACCACTGTTTCAGCAACATCTAAACCTACAGGGCATGAAAGACCATGGTGGCTACTGATAGCCTATGGTCTCCATAACCTTTGTAAGGCCCAATTTATATCTAATTGATGCATAATAGTCAAATAATATTACTTAGTGAGTGTTGCTCTGTACTGCTGCATGCATTCATGTTTTGTTTTGCTTTTTTTGACACAAATACAAGTTATTTATGTGTTTTCAGATACTGCATTCCAGAGTAGCAAATTAAACCACTATAATTTCTACTCAGTGCCACATCTTACTTCATATAAAAGTGCACTATTCACAAGAAACACATGAAGTTTTACTCTACCAAAAATATATCAGTGAATTTATATGTATGCCAATAAAATTTGTAATAAATATTACAAATCGTGTGTTACTTAATGTGAATTTGAACATTTTGACTTTTCTTCAACATACTGCTCATTAGACATCTTACAATCTGTACTATTGCTTTTAAAGGATAAATTAATAAACATAGTAGTAAGACTTGGAGAATCTGAACATTACAGTCCATACAGTACCTTTCCTAGGTAAATACCTATCATTCACATTAGAACCACAACAGCTTTACTGTTTTTAAAGTAATAGCTTTGTTAGCTTCTAAGAATTTAAATTGTACATTCAACTTTGTATGTAATTGTTATGCTACTTAGTGTATTCTCATTTCCAGTTTAGCACAAACTTTTGTTAGTGCTCTTCTGAAAGCAAATTCCCAGTCTAAGCTGATATGGGGCAGTTTCTCTTCATCGCCAAAATGTTTGCCTACCCAGGTATAAAACTTATTTTATGTTTGTCATTTAAAAGAAAACAATCTCAAAATAATAAAAAAGAACATTCAAATGTAAAAAGGATTTGCCAAATCAGGTTTAGTTTGTTGTTTAAATAAAATAAATACTTAAAAGGGGCAGAAGAGTTGATGATCACTACATTAAATAGAAAAGGAGTCCTGTGTTTTCTACTGCAGCTGGAAGATTCACAATTCACCTGGGCTAGTTTGTTCTTCACTAAGAATTCATAGGAATAAATAGTTCTAGCCAGGGCAGATAATCCTTCTTTCTTCCTTTATCTCAGCATATCTCGTCTCCGAAATTGCTTCCACAGATCTCTGAGATGTTCACTGGTTACAGTCATCACACAAGAGTAATATTCCTTCCAGCCATACTTTGGAGTCTCCTGTGAAAAGTGAAAAACATACTAACTGAAAAAAGGTATTGTTCACTAAATTCTTTAATATTAAATGAAATTTGACTCGCACTCATACAAACTAGGTATATGTTTTAATATTAAAATCATGAAAGATCAAACACTTCTATGGCTCAGAAGTACGTCTGTAAAATGAAGGCTATAAATCCATTCACAGGTTAAGTATTCAGAATGCATCCTCACCTCACAGCACACAGTTAGCATTCAACAAATAGCCTTTGTAGGTTAAAACCTGTAAGAAATGATTTCATCTTTATTCAGGTATGTCCTGTTCTCTCTGGTTTTGCTTCTTTCTTCTTCATGTCAACACTGTATTAAAAAATTCACCTGTAACACCATAGAGGTGAATTTTTCCTCTGTGTTCCATAGAAAGCATAGAAAATTATTGATGCTCATGGAACTGCAGCAGTAGCAAAAGCCAGATACAATACGGGCAGATCATATGAAAGCTTCTTTATACTAGGTTACCTTAATCCTAAACTGTGTTGTAGTTCATTGACACTAGGAAGTGCCCACTGAATGGAAAGGAATATTGGCCAAAGGTTGGCCTGCGAGATTCACTAGACTCTGTGCTGTCTGTAGTTATCACTGGATATCATTATTTCTTCTGCTATTCCTAATTTCACAAACCTATTTTGATAGTAAGTACAGAAAGATGGAGAGTGGCTAAATATTAGATTAACTGGGGAAAGAGACTAAGTAAGGAACAGGAATTGTAATTGTAGGTAAGTCAGAAGCATTTACAAGTAATTTTAAATTGTAATCTATCTTAGAAATTAAGTCCAGTATCTGGAGGTAAATGGTTACAGTGTCAAGGTAACAGATTATCTGATAGCTTGTTTTGGTTGAACTGAGTGAAGAAGTTAAAAATATTGTGACATTACAGTATATTAAAACCAACCATTAGAGAGTGAAGCCTATATTTAATTTATTCCTATTACTAATCTTATATAAATAAAAAGCACAGAACATTATGCAGAAGTTGTAAGTATTCAGAAAACAACCTAATCCACAGCAGTGTATAACCCAGACTTTAAATGAAATATTAGAAACAATACTTACACGAACGCATAATTTACTTGAGATTTATGGTCAATCTTATGGAAAAACAAAAAGCATTACTTATAAATTGCATTTCACTATTTAAGAAAAGGACATTCAGTTGATTAACCAGTGCTTTGAGATAAGCATTTATTTTTTATTTTATGAAATAGGTTCAGAGAAATGTTCATGAAAATCAGTAACAGAAACACTGAAGTACACTAACTGTTCCTCTACTTATTTCTAATGTATGCATTGTTGTTGTATCTACTCTCAGTGTACCAAATCCATAGAAAGAACATTTTGCCCACATACTCTGCAATGCTTTCACATTTCCCTGGAACATTTTCCTTCCACTCTACCCAGGTATGTTTTTAAGGTTCTGGTCAGTTTTAGGATCAAATGTCTGGGTTCTGTAATTTACAGTTACATTTTTAAGATGAGTCAGATATATGTATCACACACTTTCCATTTTATTTTCTTTAGAGAAGAGGTAAGCAACAGTCTCTTCAACTAGTAAGCAACAGCTGCTTCAAGTTTTTTTTAAGCTATCTCTTATGATGCATGTATTCAACTGCTGTATATTAGGAAACTATGGAAATTAAAATCTTTCAAAATATTAAGTACATAACACATCTGAATGGTGCTTGACAATGCAGTATTTAGACAGAAATTTATTCATGAAACATGGCTAGAAACGAGGTTCTAAATCCATGCTTGAGTCTTTCATGTGAACTTTCCTAAAAATGAAATTTCCTCCCCAACTGGTTGCAAGACTGTTTGCAGATATTAACTATTACTTTGTAAAAACCTTTAATCAGAAACTTAGAAGCCTCACAAAATTCAGAGCATCTAGAAAACAGTCTTTTAACGCAAGTATCATAAGATTTTTCAAGAAATTACTGGGATATACAACTTATTTTCTAGATTCACAATGATGACATAATATTTATTTTCAATACTTTAGAACAAAATTGGAATTATAGCTTAACCATTGACTACAGATTTGAAGCATACAAATAGTTTAGCGAACAGTACTTTCAGATGGACTTGAATCCTCACAAAGTTGGCCTCTAGCATCCTCCTTTGGAAATTAGCTCCGAAAGGGTTTTATTAGAAATCTCCTAGATAACCCTTCTATAAGGCGTTCAAAGTAGAGCTCTCCTTGCGGCTCCATTTGGCAGTTCCCTACTAATGTGTCTTTTCTGTTCTCCCTACAGTATACCCAAAGGAGTACCTGCCGATGCCGAGTCTGCAGGGAGAGCAATGCAGAAAGACAAGCTCTCCAAGAACACGGCCAACTCTTTGGACCACACAGAGCTTGCACAGTTGTTCCCCAAGGAGAGATTTTCATTATTTATTATAAAGGTATAACATTCTTTATGCTGTGAAGTAAATTGTGTCAAGTGCAATTTAGAGATGCATAATGTACAGCACAAGGTGCTATTTATCCCTTTTCAGGGTGCAGATTCACAGTGTCATCTGTGGCACATATGCCAAGTATCTTAATCTTTCATCAGAGTTCTACGGTTATCACAGAAAGTATATCAAAGCACAGACAAGGATCTGTATATTTATATTTGGAACAAAGTAAAACTAAGAGTTATTGTATTGCATCTACCTTTGGGATGTAATTGCAGCAGACTTTTGTATTTCGCATACATTTATGTGTCTCTTTGTACATCAGACTGAAATTTAATTACCCACTTGAAATTGTTCAATTTCATATCTCCAATGATTCTCTATTATCTTTTCAATTTTCAAACTAAATAGAAAAAAATTATTTTTGGAGTTATGTAAATCTTCACTCCACACTGTATGGCAAAGACAGCATTAGTTCTGTTCTCCTCCGTAGGAACTAACTCCAAATCACTTCACATATATTTTGGCTAAAGTTTCCATTTCCATTAACTGACACTTGCAACAAACTTTAATAAATGTCTACAACAAATCTGAAAAAATATTCTAAGTAACGTAACGCTTTGCACAAAAAGGAACTCAGAATAGCTAACAACAGGATATGTCACTGTGATTCATCACAAGAGACAAGGAGCAGTTGCTCAACTGAAGGTTAAGTAGTTGACTAATGGGTCTGCAGGGAAGGATTTTTATCTATATGAGGTTTACACTGCATTCTTCAGTGCACAGGTAACGGATACCTGACACAGTCCTACACAAGCAAACTTAGGTACCAGAAGCATTCCTGTTAGAGCATCCAGGAGCTCCAGGTGGGAAGAAGAGCAGGGTAAATAACCAGCAACCTCCACACTATGTCAGTGAGGCTACCTGTAGCCAGGTCAGTGCACTGAGAGCTAACCTGGTTTCTCTGTACTGTCCCCCAGTGCGTAGTGGAGACATATCATTACTCAACTTTGATTTTTTTTTTTTCTCGAGATTTATACAGAATGAACAAAAATCTCCCTTTATATGTATTCTACTGTGTTCTTTTTTCCCAGTTTACCCCATCTCAACAGGTGCATGAATTAATTTATTGCCCGAGTTCAGATCTCTGTCAAGGTGTCCAGGTATATAAACTTGATGCTTTTATCACAGTCTCTCTTTTTGTCACCAAGCTAATTGTATTTGCCTTGATTATTAAACATTGGATTCTTTTGTGTCACACTGCATTTTGCTCCAGTTGGACACATACCCTTCACTGAAGTTATCAGGAAAGCATCGTGACTGTGTAACATTTTGCTAGCTTTCCTGTAAAAAACATTCCCTATCTTGAAAAGTTTAGAGTTTAAACAACACTTGATGTGCAATTACAATGTAGGCTGTGGCAGAATTAGTGGGGACAAAAAGACTACTCATAGAAGAGTGATTTTTAAAAAGACATGGGAAAGGAAGAGCCAAAAGTTTCAGAGCGATGAAATTACATAAAATTAATCTAAAGCCATTAATTTCTTCTTATATGACTGCTGAGTTGGATTACTAAAATGTTGGTTTAACTACTAGTTATTTACACTTCCCATTAATCAGGTGGAGAAACCAGATGCTTTGTTAAGAACAAATTTCCTTTTCTGTTCCTCACATATTAGTACAATGCTTCAGTATGTAGGATATACTCATAAAGAGGAAGTATAATTAAAAAATATTAGTAATCAAAATAATAAAGAAATAATCCTATGCATGCTAAATTTTACAAGAGAATACCATAAGCAGATCAAACAGAACTCTTGTCTTTTGTTAACAGGCTGTCAACAGCCTTTGTAGCAACTACTGCAAAGTCTATAAATATAGACATGAAAAATGGGCTGGCACCAAAACCTTAAATTGCAAAGGAGCAAACTCTTGCTTTATTTAAGAAGAGAAACGTCTACTAACACATTTGTGCTGTGTCCACCGTGTGACATACTTTCACAATATGGCTACAGAATATGCACACCCCAGTCTTTACACCGAAACCCACAGTACAATCTAATTGTAAGAATGAATATTCATGTAGTGGATATGCAGAAACAGCCATGGTGGTCATGTGTGGGCACACTGCAGATTTTTGAAAATTGCTGGTACAGCATTAATAGAGACAAAACCACATTATAATTTTCAAAAGTGTATCTGTATAAATCAAAGTAGAATCAAGTTACTAACAGTCTCTCGGGAAGAAAAATCTGCTTCTACAATCTTCACTCGTAAATACTTATTAGCTATATGTACCTGAGAAATTACTTGAAAAGTGGTCACAGGACAGACAGAAAACAGCAACAGAAACTATGAAAGAATACTTTTCCTTATTTCAAACATAGTACAAAATCGCAGCTGGCTTACAAAACAATGAGCACGCGTCAGTCATTGCCAACTCCAGAACAAAATTCTGTTGCTTCAGTCAAAAACACAACATGACACTTTGAGCTACTACATTGCTTACAGTCTGATAACCTATTCCTGAATTTCGGAACAGGAAACAAAACAGTGACAGTTTAACATTCAGCCATTCCTGCAAGCATGCCAGCACACTCAGACTGGGCAGCTAACACATACCGTCATTTATCTGCTATAGAGTTCCTTCCTCACGCAGGATTTGAAAGTAGTATACCTCTGTATAGGTTTGTAGCCCTGTGGAGCAGAAGATGGAGAAGTGCACAGATGCAGACAACATGTGAAGGCAGCCAGGTGTAAGCGTAAGACAACAGTATCATGAAAAGACAAAAAAATGGCTTTAAGTGACGAATAGCTAGAAGGTACAGTATAGTATGTGCTAGGTAAAATGTTTATCATTTAGTCATTAAGTTCCAAATCTTTCAGTTTAAAAATGGAATTTATAAAGAAAAGGGAATCTTCTTGTATATGTTTAAATAAAAAAAAAGAAAGGAAATAACTATTTTAAACCAAACAGCAAGCAAAAATAAAACTTCATGTCTGCACATTTTAATAAGTTTATGGTAATACTCTGACTGACCACTTGATGGCAGCTTAATATACAAGTTTGTTTCAAACTACTAAAACAAAAAAGGTTTGATTATAAAACTATATTCCAGAGAGAAATTTCATTTGATTTACTCTTTAAGACGTTTACATTTCCAAAAACATATCTAAAATGTATGTTAAAAATGAGTATTTATGATGTTCCTATAAGGGGTAGTACCTGACCTTTCTCAAGTTTATAAATTTATGGCTAAGCTTTTAAATAGGACAAAGCTGGTAGGGACTGACTGACCTTTCAGAATTCCAGTTTCACTGGACTTGTGTAACTCTTTGCTCTTAAATATGTTTGCTTTAGTCAGACTATATAACTACAAAATGGCAGACATTAATTCTAGGACATTTAACATTAAAATCAGACATTCACACTTTATAAACAGGTTCAAATTTCTCACAGCAAAAATTTCCATGTTGCTACAAAACACTGCCTAAGCAGAAGCTATAATGTTCTTTTATCTGTATAATGGAACTGACCAAATCTTAATATGGATTTGAAACACAGTTATTAACAAAGAAAAGGTTAGTGATTTGTTAGTTTTGATTTAGCATACGACAACATTTGAGCCCTCCACATTGTAGGAGCAAGAAGGTAAACTTTTACTTGTTCTGGCCACACTAAATACTGTGTAACTTTTAATGTACAAACAATAGGAAGCAATTAATGACACTTTCTGCCAATTTGTTCCGGGCAAAAGGTTCTTACATGTTTTCTTCTTTTCATTCTAAACCAAGATTGAGGTGAGTGGGGGGTGTTTATTAAAATGAAAAGACAAATTTTTGCAGAGTTTTTACTACTATCCACTCTTGGAAAAATTGTGTTTGTGTGACACTTATGAAAACTTACTGGAAATTGTAATTCCTAAATTTGGTACTGTAATTGTCTTGGAATACTACTGATCTGTGAAGAGAATGCATTTTTCTGAATAATCTAAAAAGTATGCATGTAGGCATGTCTGAACATAACTGAATTATAGGACCAAATCATGATCATCTCCTATGCAATCCAGGAGATATATCTAATTAAAATTAGATATCTCATTTATGAAAGATGGTGCTATTCTTCTGAACATCCTTGGCTATTCTTTATAGTTCTTCTACAGTCCACTCGAATATTTTATAGTGGCCTAGGCAAAAGAAAGATACATGCATAAAACTGAATAGTGCTGAATGATATAGATTCTTGAGGATTATACGTGATTTCTGTCATGCAAATAGAAACATGTAATACATTTGCAAGAATTACTTAAGTAAGCAGACTGTTTTCTGGTTAAATTAACATACACTGCACACTTACAATTAGTAAACAATTAAAACATATAGCTGAACATCTTGAAATGGTTATGAAACAATCATCATTCCCACAGCATAATAAAAGGAATTGAGGACCAACAAAGAAATGTTTGTTACAAATGCAGTGGTTGTTAATCCACGTTTTACATCTGATCATAATATTAAAAAAATAACAAGTAACCTGTTAGACTCAACACCACAGAAAGTTCTAAAATCATATTTAGGAAGCTAACTAAAATGACTAAAAACTACATTACAGAAATAACATACTGTAATGTGAATTTAGGAACCATAATACAGTTTAAGATTTATGTCTAAGGGATTAGGTTGTCAGTAAGAACACCATTTTACATTTAGTTACAAATGTTAACACCTGTCATCTGAAGAAAAAAACATGACTTTTATTGATCATACTCTTAAGTAAAAATTTTTCTGATACTATAAAATTCCCCTTTACTACACAGAACCTGAAGAGGGCAGCAAGGCCTATACATTCACCTAAAAGGCAAAGCATGATTTGTAAGCTTGTTCCTTATGAAAATTTTCTGCAAGTAATTTCCTGCCCTCTAGCTTCTTGTAATTTAATATATTAGATACAGGGTTAAATTATTAAAAGCAACTTTGAACTAGAATATAGCATTGTTCAGCACCACTTCACTAATCCTTTATTTGAAAATTAAAACTATCTTCTGCTGCAACTCTTTCCAACAGTCATTATCAGCATTTGGTATTTTAAATAACATCTTCAAAAAGCCAGTGGTTGACCTTTAACTAAACTGCCTGAGTCAGAGACACAAACTCTTTTCCCTGCAAACAACGCAGACATAATTGCTACCCTTGTCAAAATTCTTAATGCCAATCTATTAATCATACAATACAAAACAAATGACAGCATGCAGAGGATTTCTCATCTCCAATTTGGTTTCTGTACTATAAAGGTACACTATGTCCTCTATGTATTACTTTCTAACAAAAAAAAAAAAAAAAAAAAAAGAATTTAAGAAGGAATTTATCTTACAGACTGCTCCAGGATATGTCTTTAAACACACGCACTGTTGGTTTGCAACCCACTGATGCTACAGGTGCTAAAGTATGTAGTGGTAAGTAGTAAAGTCAACTAAGATAACTATAAAAATTAGAATTCTTACCCTAAACCCTCGATTGAGTCTGTCTTTCATAATGCCGATAAATTCTTTATAACTCAACTGGTCGTCTCTGTCAACATCAAAAATCTTGAACACTGTGTTCACCAAATGTGGTGAAAGCTTCACACCTGTGGCTACATACACAGCACGCTTGAATTCATCTGCATTAAGAGAACATCAGCAGAAAAAATAAAATACATTAATCCTACTTTGTGGACAACATATCATGAAATACAAGTAAACTTTCAACTTGAGTCTTCACATTTAAACACTCAAAAAATAGGAAAATGTGAAAATTAGGATTGAATTTCAGTTCTAAACCAAGTAATTCTCAACCAATATAAAACGATATTGCTTAATTGGTATCAATTATTATAGCAGTCCATATACTATACTATGTGTAATAACAAAATTAGAAAATTGTATTAAAATTAAACCTATGTGACATTTACACTGATGGCATCTACTTAACTGACAGAAAACAGAACCTGAGAAATAGAGCACAGCAAAAACAGTGTACTCCTTTGGTAGGGCCACATGAGGCAGGACTATGCTGGTGCTACTGTGTCAGACCCATGAAGATGTTAGTTAAGGACGGCACACGTCCGAGCACTTCACATATTCTTCACCTCGCACTCCCCAAGGATCTCAACTGTTGTATTAAGGATTTTAGTCAGTACATACCTGCCTAGTTCCTTCAGCACCCACTTAGTGATTTGTTAAAAAATCTGTCTAATCCCTCTTTGGGCCTTCTGACACTTATTTCCTTCTACAGCCTTTGTATAAGGCCAGATTTCGGACACCCACTGTGTAAAGAAATGCTTTTGTTGCTTTAAACTGATCTTGCTTGCTTGATGTCATCAGGCACCTCTTAACTCTTGTATTGTAGGAATTGGTGACAAACTATTCTGCATTTAGCTTATCCACCACTTACATGATTTTGTAAAACTTTATTGTATCTCTTACAATATGACGGAGCCTTCTCCCCTCAAAGCTGGAGTCCTAGCCTTTCTAGCCTTTTACCTGAGACATTAAAACTACAAACTAGGAATTATATAACTTTTTTGTATTTTTGTCAACAGTCTGTATATTTGTTGACAGATTTTTACACAAATACAAGTACTTACCTTGACCTATGGAACGACTTGCAAAATTATACATTTGCATTGCAATTGTAAAGTCTTCTAGGTTGTTCAAGAATTGGAAAAATGATCTAAACTCATCAAATGTGATACCCTAAAAAATAAAAGAACCATATGCACCATAAGAATTAGTAGTAGTGATGACAACTGAATAAATAAACTTTGCAGTTACGTATGTCTACTTCATCTAAGAGTAGATACTACACCCATTGAAAAAAACAGATTTGTACTGAAAGTCAATACAGTAAAGAATTGGAGTCTCCTCAGGAATGCAAGATATCTTTCCTCTTTGCCACTGCAACGAATAGCAATTTTCACCCAAAAAGCAGTCAAAAATATTGATCTATTGCTTAAGGCAATCTTTAAGAATTCCAGGATTATTACGATACAGCAGTTAATGCTGACCATAAGAGTCTAGGTTTGTATGAATATTGGAATATTGAAAACTACTGAAAACCTGCAAACCGCTATTATAAATATGTAAGCGTGTGTGCTCACATAAATACACTGAATGAATTAATAAATCTATGTTATGATCTAACTTAAGCTCTGTACTTTAAGGTGAAGTTTTTACATTTCTGGTTTGGATACCTAGGTCTCTTCAGCTGATACTCCAAGTATCAAGTATTGCAGGGTTTGTCCAGCTTTTTAAAAAAATCTTTTCCATTTTGACCAGACTTCAGAATGTCTTCTATGAAAGTTTCTCTGAAAGTGCTGTTGTTAGAAGAGCTTATTTTTTAGAATCACAAAATAGTTTGGGTTGGAAGGGACCTTTAAAGGTCATCTAGTCCAACCCCCCTGCAATAAGCAGGGACATCTTCAGCTAGATCAGGTTGCTCAGAGCCCCGTCCAGCCTGACCTGGAATGTTTCCAGGGAGGGGGCATCTACCACCTCTCTGGGCAACCTGGGCCAGGGTTTCACCACCCTCATTGGGAAAAATTTCTTCCTTCTATCTAGTCAAAAATCTGCCCTCTTTTTAGTTTAAAACCATTACCCCTTGTCCTATCGCTACAGGCCCTGAAAAAAGTCTGTCCCCATCTTTCTTATAAGCCCCCTTTAAGTACTGGAAGGCTGCAATAAGGTCTTCCCAGAGCTTTCTCTCCTCCAGGCTCCTCCCAGCTCTCTCAGACTTTCATAGCAGAGGTGTTCCATCCCTCTGATTATTTTTGTGGCCTCCTCTGGACCCTCTCCAACAGGTCCCTGTTATTCCTGTGCTGAGGGCTCCAGAGCTGGACGCAGTACAGTACACACTTCTTCTTTCCTTATGATATTTGTTCTGCTTTCCTTAGCTACAAATCCAAAGACCTGAAAAACTATCTCTAAATCAATTCTGAAAGAGACCTTAAACAGAGACTTTGAATTAGACCAGGACCACTGCCTATATCTCATGCTCCATGGTCCGTTGGCCATTCTTAACATGGGACAGCATTCTTCATCAAATCTTGATCCCCCTTGCCTCCTTTAACTGTCATTGCTGGGTAGTCTTCTGTCTGGTTTTATTCTTTTATCCAGTTTAACTTCTCTCGAAAAATAAACCCGAAGATAATCAAAAGACCTGTAAGCCTTTCTGTTCAAACTACAATTTTGACCTATGTCTCTCCTCAAAGATATACGTCGTCATTACATTAGGGTGGAACACAGACAACATACTGAAGTAGGTTTCTGGCAGAGAAGAAAACGGCAGAGGTTGGGCATAAACCCGTATGAGACAGCAAGCCAGTCCTGTGGTAAATGTGGAAAGCAACAAAATACTGTTAAAATAAAAGACTTTAATAGGCCTCCAGCCACTTGAGATGTGAACCACTGGCTAAGTGATCTTACCTAAGCTCTAGCTAAGTTTTATAAACTGTTTGATTCGTTACTTGACCCACATCCATCATGAACTGCTTTTCTCGACAAGCGTATCTGTTCTCTGTTTCATCCTTTCTAATTGGGAGGAAAGTCTCATAGACACAAGCAGAACCACATCCTCATTCTCCTCTAAATTTTTATCTGAAAAGCTTAATTTACTAATACTAACCAATACTGTCTTCTTGTTTCGTTGCTTTTGACACCGAATATATCGAACAGAAGTTTCGACTGAAAACTCTCTGCAACTGGAATAATTTTGTCACATATTTGTGAAATACCTAGATCGGTGAAACTTCAGTCCCCAACTAGGACCCTCAGGTACTATGGCAAAATAGCAATAATAGAAAAAGGCCATCAAAGTCTTGAGCTGACAGTTTTCGGTTCACAATGATTTTAAAAAATCCTTAGTTTGCACCAATTTGTCTGTAAACATTCTGCTGCACAAATCCTAGCTTTTTCCATGTAACTAGAGGGGAGATGATCAGTCTAGATGGAAAGCAGCCCTTGCATAGGTACACTGGTCTACAAACAAGCCTTTCTGCAGCTTCTGTGCTTCCAGTAGTGACAAAAACTGCTGCCATGAGTTGACACTAGAGATGAAGCAGGGAGATAAAGGAGCCACACCTGCAGTCCATGGCTAAACTGTACACACTCGACAACATTTCAGCAATGAGAAAAAGATAGA